CTCCAGTCTCGCGACTCCCTGCCAGCTCCGATCCTGGTCAATGAGGGCTTCTTGCATTTCCTGCGAGACAAGCTCGATGAGCCTGTCAAAGTAGGCCTGGTTCCCTGCGGACGCAGCGTGCCACATCCCAAGCAGACTGCTTATGACTTTGTGGAAAGGGCACGGCACGACTTCAACCTCAAGGACTACGAGTTCCCCTGGCAGATCATGGACCTGGACCAGCCTCCGGATCTGGACTTGTATGGCCAGGATCCCACTCACTTTCAGCCGTCTGCTGAGCTGCCTGCCATTATTGGGCGTATCATTGGCCGCGCTCTCTACTGTATGACAGTACCGAAACCACAGCGAGCTGAAGGAGGCAACGCCCCCGAGACTCCGCAGGGCAACGCCCCCCAAACCCCATCTACCTCACCTTTTGCGGGTGGCCTGGGGCCAGGGGATGCGCAGCAGGCGCCGCACACTCCTCCACCCTTTCTGCCAGTTCTTCTGTGCTGCTCCTGGAACGCGACTCAGGGCATGATACATCAGGAGATGTTGGCCACCCACGCGCTCACCCGAGCCACCACTCTTAGAGAGTTGCTGATTGTGGCGGCCAGCCAAGCCAACTTCCCCATTGAAAAGACGTACCGCCTTACGGTACCGGCTGACTGTACTCCCTATGGGAGGTTCCCAATCCCGCAGCGCCTGGTCCAGACTTTCATTCATGACGAAATGGTTGGCCCTAAGGAAATGGCGGCGGACAAGTTCCGGACCTTTCGTCGCGAGTTCTTCAACGACGAAGCCTGCGCGGAAGTGATCCGTTCAGTCACTGGAGGAGCAGGGCAACGCCTTCTCTCCAAGCTCCGAAGCAACGCGCATCGCGCGGATGTCTTCAGATACGTTGAACACTGGCTCCGCGGCGGCATCTACCTCGACATCAAGACTGCCTTCCTGATCACGCCGCAGGAGCTTCACTCCTCCATCGTGGCAGAGTGGCGAGCAAAGCCACTCCTCTCCGACCTTGCCTCCCAAATTTATGGATGGGATGCTGATACCTTGCGAGCCAGCGGCCCTCCTGATTACTTCCTCACGGCCATCGGTCAGAAAAAGGACCACATTTTCCAGGGCATCCTCATGGGACGACGGCAGCACCCCCTCATGACTGCTGCACTACGTCATGCTTTTCAGCACAAATATGTGGATGCGCAGGGGGCCATCAACGAGAAGTATATGTTCTTCTGCATCGCCCTCTATGAGATCGTACGCCAGGACCTGCTCAGCGACCCGGTCCTCCACCCAACGGCGCAGGGACGCAGCTTGGCCCCTGGCTGGCACCTCACACAGACCCTAGGCCCGATCTATCTGCTGCAGGAGGTTCATGAGGATCAGTTGCGGCGAATGCAGGGCGTGCCCCCCAATGAGGGGCATGGGTTCCGCACAGCCTCCAAGCAACTCATCGCTCTTACTCGGTGCTGGGGTTGGAACAAGGGATGGAAGTCTGATCCGGCTTCCACCAAAGCCAACAACGATGCCATCCTTCGTGGACTCCCTACTGCACTCCACGCAGCACAGGAGGCTGGCAACGCCACGACCCGGCGAGGCAACGCCTCCACGACTCCGGTCCCCACTGAAGCCACCATTCAGGCACATGTGCTTGAAGCTCTCGACACCAGCCTTCTTGATCGGATTGTGCAGCTTATCGAAAAGTGGCCGCAGTTCTATGGAGAACTCACCAAGCAGCAAGTCCAGGAGCTCATCCCGCGCGGTCATGGCATAGCCATTTCAGAGCATGGTGACACTTTGTGCTGTGTCTTCTGTGCGGGCAAATCTGGCGGGCCCTGCATGTTCCACACCTCTCAGGGCCTACTGCCGCACTTTCTGCGGACACGTGGCAGCGGTGCTACATGGCATCACGCGGGGGAAGAGGCCTATGCCAGGGCTACCACTGGGCGCTCAGGTCAGGCCGCTGCGGCGGCCTCCTCCTCAGATACCGGCAATCAACAGCCCCAACGAGCCTGCCTCCCCGCCGCCATACGTCGCACCGCGACCAGCCATCCTTGATGCACCGCATCGTCATGAAGCTCCTCCTCAAGAGCCAGAAAACACTCCTCCCACAATGGAGGAACTATGTGCCGAAAAGGACTTCTACGACTGGGTGGTGGCAGTAGCGGACCTCCAGTCACTGACGGCTCCTGAAGTAGTGGGTGTTCTTCAGCCCCAGGAGTTCACAGCGATATGGAATGCCCGACTTCAGGTCTTGACCAAGCTGCCAACCGTGCTTGCCGGCCTTAGCAGGGTTTACCAAAAACCTGAAGCTGATCGAAAAGACCTCAGCTGGCGCTCTGTGATCTCGGGTCGACTTGTTGTCCACTCCTCTGGCCACTTAACGATGGCCACGAAGGATCGTGCTGGTCAAGAGCACATCCACCCCAAGCTCACGACCTGGCTCGGGGGCCTTCAGGCTACCATTAAAAATGGGGTTCCCTACGCTCTCTTCGAGGGCGAGCGTGTGGCTACTCAGGATGAGTTTCGCCTCTTCGCGACGACCCTGCAGACCATCTATGAGGCAGCCACCAAGAAGGCGCACCAACCCTCTCACGTCAATATCATCCAGGCCACGCGTGACAGCCATCCAACCATCAAGATTACGCACGGCCAAGTCCTGGATAGCAAGCTGAACGTGATTCGCAATGTTACTGGCCAGCAGCTTCGTGGTCGCCGCGAAAAACAAGCTGAGCACCGTGAGAACAAGGAGTCCAGGAGGTCGGACCCGTATGGATCTCACGAGCCTCCGCCCGAACAACACTCCAGATCCGCCGGCTCCCAAGACTGGCAAGACTGGCGGGACTGGGAAGAAAATTCCTACAATGCCAGGAACTCTGCCTACCACGGCTACTACCGCTGAGCCATTGCATGCCAGGGCTACTTAGCCAGTCTCACCTTTTGCGGCTGCCGGGCAACGCCCCAGTTGATGCCAGGCACCGCCTGCTGACATCATTGCGCGTTGTTGGTAATAGGCAACTGAAATCTCTCTCTTCCTTTCTACTCAGCACCTATGCAATACAGGCAACGCCTGCACTGATGTCAGGCAACGTCCTGCTTACAAACCGGGCGTCCTTTGACGAAGCGCTCAGAGACGCGTCAAGCAGCACCGCCTCCGCTAGCGATGCTAGTCTCCTTGAGCGGAATACACACTTTCTTTCAGTCATTCTGCTCTTGCCGCACGAGCCAGGGACCACTCTCTCTCACTCTTTCTAGGGCATGTGGCTCCAGCAACAAACATAGCCAGGAAGCTCCCAACATCATGTTCCAAACGCGAGACTTCCCGCCGGACCTGTACGCCGTGGCCCTGGAGGAGTACCTCTTGTTACAGGCCATGCATGCCCTGGCCGCTCGACCGCCACGCTTGTCGCTTCCGGCCGAAGCGGGTATGCTATCCTACAACGATCTGCTGCACCTGGCCATTCAGACCTTTGGGCATGAACGGATGCAGGAGTTGGCCTACTACCTTGCACGCCTGCAACCCTGTCTCCCTCGCAGCCTTGACACTCATATGCCCTTTCCGTACGGTGAGTTGGATGCGCGGACCCCAAGCGCTGAAATTCTGTCGTGGCATTTGCTACAAGACGCTCAGTCACCGCTCTGGAATGCTGTGCGCACAGCAGTTCGAGCCTTGACGTGGCGCCCAGGTCGCCAACGCTTCTCTGATGGCAGCGCCAACAATGTCACCTTCGGCGCTTTTGCACGAGGACCTATTGGACTTTGTGCAGACACGGTTCGGCATGGATCCTTCTGTCGACTGCTTAACAGACTGATTGAGCACATCTGCCCGGAGCATAAATGGACTACCTTCTCCTTGAACCTCAACGTCCGTACTCCACCTCATCGAGATCAGTCCAACTCCAAGACGGGCACGTTGCTGCTTAGTCTCTCCCACCACGATGAAGGCTCAGTCTGGGTGGAATCCTGCCAAGGCACCGACTACGAAGAAACTGACTATGGTCTGCTGAGTGGCCGCCCATTTAGCCTGGCCTTTCAGGCACTCATTTTCCCAGCTCACAACCATGTTCACTGTACTCGTGGTTGGAGTCTGACAGATCGTATCACGCTGGCTGCATACAGCATTTCTGACCCTGGCCGGTTGTCGAGTGCGCATAAAGCCACTCTTGTTGATCTCGGTTTTCATCTCCCTTAGGTCTGACAGATCTCTTGAGCCCTCACGCGACGTAGCTTCAGCTAGTTACGTCGGGCAACGCTCGCAGCTCGCATGCAGGCAACGCCTGATATGTCCACGAAATTTAATCTTTCATTGGCCTTTTATGGCACGGAGCTTCAGCTCCCGGGGGTGCCGTGACTCTGCCGATGCACTCTGCTCTTAGCCAAAAAAGAAGAGCTGCCTCAGTCAACAGCATAGTCGCATCACGGGCCTGCTCGTTGCTCACTATGTGTGGGCACGCCCAACTGCCACATTGAGGCAGTTACGCCATGCTAGATCGGGTTGGACACAGTCTCTCTCCATGAGCCTACGCCGAGGCGTGGACAGCTTCTACCACATCCATTAGTTGGCCACAGACATCATATCACTTTGCGACCTTACGGCCCACCGCCTCTGATTGTGAGTGACCATGAGTGGGACGCCACGAAACAGGCACTCCGAGTGACGGCCCGTTGGGTACGGCTCATCAATCATTGGTTCGTGGACATGGGACGCCATAGTCCACACTGAGGGTGACGGAGGGTTTCTCACCCAACTGAGTGACAAGTGACGGCCTCTGAGGTAGCTTGTAGCTTTAAGTTTTGTCTACTGATGACTGCCAGCCTCAAGTTTCCAGGCCCAGACTCTCTTTACTATGCTCTCAGCTCTTTGCTCAGGTGCAAAGGCAGTTTCACACGCCCGCAATGAGCAGAGCCCGCTCGCTCAGCGTCTAATAAAAAAATTGTTGTTGTTTCTGCTGCTGCTGTCGTCTTCCTGCTGCTTCTTTCTTCTGCGATCTTTGAACCTGAGTGCTCTGATGAGAAAGGCTAGCGTCCACGAGCTGTTGAGAGCTGGTGTCGGTCACCCAGTGGCAGAAGTGACCCTCAGCAGGTGCCAGTGCGTTTCTTTGGTTGGGAATTCCGAGAGAGCATTCGAACTTAGATTCCCCTCGCCGCTGCGCTCCTGACGATCACCCGGTCGCCCGGCAGCAAGCTGTCGGCGGCGCAGGAGGCCCGGATCGGATGGGGTCGAGACGGGAGCACGGGAGCCAGGGCCCAGGACAAGCGTGGAAGGACCATTATGACCCCCGTGACGGAAGTTTATCGCCACCTTAGCTTTTGAAGGGGGGATGTGGCATTTGGCCTTGCTCTGCGGCAGAGACCTGAGCTGGTCAGGAAAAGCTGGCCGAGCTGCTCCCACCGCCAGCCATCGACGCCATCAAGGATCGCATGCCAGCGCGTGCGGGAGGGAGAGCAAAGCCCTCTCTCTGTCTACACTCTGCCCCTCTGCTCTCCTTTGGGCCACCCGCCAATCCGCCCGGCCCGAGCCATCGGAATCCCACGTTGCCTGCCTCGCTTGGCCGCAGTCCTTCGGCGATCACATTCCGGAAGATCCGACGGCCGACGCCTCAGGCAACTTCAGACGTGAGAAGTCTTCGGGAGACTCTTGGGAGCTAGCTTTGGTTGCTGCGAACTCGGCTGGAGTCATTCATTACCAACACCATGTCGGGGGTTCCTTGTTACACTTCTACTTACAAGTAAAAGCAATACCCATTGTTACGCCTTAGGGCTTTCACCTTCCGCAGAGGTCGTCGAGCTGCGACGCATCGCGGACTGCTTGGAGAAGCACCAGGTTCCCCGTGCGACGTCGACCCATCTGATCAGGGCACACCTGACTACGCTGAATCCTAAACCCAGACAGCGTCTGTAGGCTGCCCCGGATATAGTTGCAGAACCTGAATGCAACTGCAGTACTAGTTCTTCTAAAGTTACAGTATAGTCCTACTACAGAAGTGTGCTAGTATTCTGGAATCGTAACCCCAGTAAATATCACTACAGTGTTCTACCACCAGTAGCTAACAGCTTTATTCTCCCAGTCGTTTGTTCACCTGAAACCTAAACCCCTAAACCCCTAAACCCCTAAACTCTAAACCCTGACACCCTAAACCCTGAAACCCCAAACCTTTTGTTAGCTTTCTTGCTTTCGAAGGCGGCCTCCGCCGGATCCTCGGGAGCTTCGCGGGCGGGAACGTCCACAGGCGGGCGAAGGGTCCGAAGGGCCGTGGAACCGGCTAGGCAAGCCGTTACCACCGCTTCTCATCATTCTGTGATTGCAAGTACTATTAAGAGGCTTGTCGTTGTTCTTCTTCTGCTTCTTCTCATTATTGGTATTATCATTAGTATGTTCATGGTTAAGTTACTGTTGCGGTTACTGTAGCTGTCAACTGTTGCCGGTAGTAGTACTAGTGCTAGTACTGGTACCAATACTACTGCGACTTTTACAATTGCTTTTTTGTTCAGCCCTGCCCCCAGAAGCCTGTCTTTTTTGGGCCTTCAGGGCCTTCAGTGTTTTGAGTTAGGGCATCTTGGGTTTGAAGGGCCTTCCGGTGTTGGGTAAAAATCTTGGTAGGCAGCCTTGCTGTGCAGTAGGAAAACAGCCGGCTAGCTTTCAGCAAGTGCCACTGGTTTCGTGCAGAAGATAGGTCTTCTCGATTGGTTTACCGTGTCGTAGGGGTTTCTATTCTTTAGTGAACTCGCGCTATCGCAGGTGCCACTGCTACTGCTGGTGCTGCTGCTAGTCTCGCGACTTGTACGATTGTGAACACAATGATTTCAAGTTTCAATAGTCTCACAAGATCACGTGGAACAAAACCGACAAACTTGACGAGAAAAACGATCGCGAAGGAGCCCCCACTTCCCAGCCGTCGCAGAGCGAGTGAAGGCACGGACTGCGAGGGCTTAGTCTTCGATCTTGGGTTTCTTGGTTGCCGGGTTCCTCGTTTCTTCCATGTTGCAATCGAACACATGAAAAGGGCTTCACTGAGCTGTGCACCGGAACGTAGGGATTCATGAGCAGGCAAAGGTGCGTCCATGCCGCGGAGGAAGCCCGAACATGCGTACCCAGACTGCCATCACATGCAACGTATGTCTGCCGACCAGTATCACGGTTCGTGCAGCAGTGAGACGTATGTAACAGTTCAGTTTTTGCAGTGCAGGTGCAGTGAGCATTCGTGGTGCGGCGTGCCTCCTTGCCCCATGCCTATCCTAGTGAAGCGCAGGGTAGCTTGAAGAGGTGGTCGCATCAGCCCAAGCGTGCTCGACCTGTGCAGCCGGCCAATGAAGCGTCGGACCGATCATCTCGAGCATAAAAAGCTTCGCTGCAGAGCAGGTGCTTGACAGGTTGATGTCTCCTGCCTTGTTGTCGTGACGTCCGAAGAAATGGGGGCTTTACCGTCCAGCTTTCAACAACAAATTCTTGTAGAGTCTCGCGGGCTTGCGGATGCCGAGCTTCCCTCCTAAGACGCATCCACTCATCTCCAGCAGTTGCGATGTAGAAGCGAGCCGCTAGCCCTCCTCCTGAGGTCCCTTCGTGTAATTCGGGCCAAGCGGGAGTTTCAGCCAGGCCCAGGTTCGCTGGAGGAGCTTTCGTCGTAGAAGGACCCTACGACTGCCGGAACTGTGTCCCAACGAAGCCGAAGTGATTATGACAGTTATGAGCTTAGGTGAGCTGACAGCTTGCGCCCGCCACCGGAAGCCGCGCGTAGTACCTCATAAACCCAGCACCAAACACCCCACGTCCCACTTGTAGCACCGCAAAGCCCAACACCCTCAACCCTCGGACCCTAAGTCGGAAGCATCTGCTCCTTAGGGCGTCGCCCAGATACCTTTAAACCCTTACACCCCCACGCGAACAACTACTCCCTGAACTTTTCAACTTAAACCCTGCACCTTGCACCCTTCTAGCGGGCCGCACATGTCTCCGTCCAGAGGGCACTGAGAGAATGCACCTCGGCTTCAAAGGGGGATGAAGGCAGAGTCTAGGTTTTGAGGTTCAGGGCCTCTAGATTTTAAGGCTTGGGGTCAGGATTTCCTAACTCATCCCGCAAGTCGTCAGGCAGTTTCGGGATTCGTTCCTGATCGGTGTTTCACAGTTGTCCAATGAGCCCGAGGAGCTTTACGGCATACACCGTTGAGTTCACACAGATTCACACACGTGTATTTAGTATAATGTTCTGTAATTACTCCTCTGTAGATGTTTGTGTAAATTGACATTTACACGTATATGTACGTGTGTTTGTATCTATGTATGTATGTATGTATGTATATATATATATATATATATATATTTCTGTATACGCACATGCATAGATACACGTGTAGCTACATGTATATAGGTATACGAATACGTCTATGTCTACGTAGACATATACGTAGACATATGCATATACATATATACATGTACGATGTCTATGTCTATATCTGTATACATACAGTAGGTAGCATGTAAATTTGGTCACACTTATGTATAGTGTCTGCAAAGAGCAGAAGTGGCATTTCGGGTTCCGAGGCGCCCCTGGCGTCTACTCCTTGGGGCACTCGGTGTTGCTCGCTGCGCGGAGCCAAGAACCGTGTGTCGTACAAGTCCTGTTTGGCCTCTTGAACTTCCTTCACCCAGAGAAGGAGAATTAGGTTATAGATAGCTAGTAGTAAAAGGGTCATCGTCGTCGTTTGTTGTGAATTGGCGGTTGGCAGCGTCGGCCCGTCTTCCCAGGCAGCCAAGCAGCCCCCGCCGCGCGGCCCTCGGTTGCGCCGAGGTTGTGCTCAGAGCAAAGCTCTTTTTTGGGCGCCCTTCGAAGGCAGAGCCAGCCTTGTCCCCGGAGCAGCTCGAGGAGCTGGTGACCAACGAGCTGTTGGCCCAGGCAGGCGTTTAGGGGGAGGGGGGGGATTGTCCGAAGGATTCGACCGAAGGCGAAGGCGAAGGCAACGCATGGGCACACCCCACGAAAGTCATCGAAGCTAGTCAGCAATTCGGAATGTTGCAGCTACCAGACATGTTGCAAGAAGTGCTTGGAGGATGCGGCGGAGTCAGAGCCCCTGCACAGACTCGACGAGTTTCTCCAGGCCTTGAGAAGCAGTCGTGGCTCCAATCGCAAGCTATCGGAAAACACACCCAGCACTCCGAAGCTTAGTCCCATCTAAAATTCCCGAGCTGCTCGAAGGTGCAGGAGATGGATTGCTCCGCGCGCCTCTTCTACCTCATGAACCGGCCGGGGGGCCCAGAGGAGGATGCCAGCAGGTGGCAGGCTGAAATTGCACAGGACACACTCTCTGCCCTTGCTTTCCTCTGCCTTGCGAGCCTTGCGAGCCAGAGCCGTGCTGCAGAACTGTGGGTTTGCGCGACGAGCTCGCGAAGCTCCATTCGGACTTCATGGGCGTCGCGGGCGTCTACCTGCAGCTGATGCGGCACATGCCCGGGGCCCGGCAACAAGCGGCCCCCAGACAGACGGCCCGGCGAGGGAGGCGAAGAGCGCTTTCGGAGAGCGACGCGAAAAGCGCCGAGGCCTGAGGAGACCGTCTGGGTCTGGCTCCTGGCCACCTCCGAGGAGCGGCTCACGCAGAAGGCCTCAGGGCGCGCGCGCTCGCTCAGGACAGAGGCTCTGCTTCCGGGGCCCGAACGCGAACGGGGCGAAAGGCTAAATCGGACCCTTCGAACTGGCAGGTGCAAACCTACTTCTTCCGCATCATGGCCTTGGCGGTGGACCAGCACCACTGCCTCAAGGCCTTTCACGATCATGCTTTGGTCATTTGTCTTGTCGTCTTATCGCCATCTCATGTGTGCACATAGCTTCAAAGAAGCCTGGGAGGCCATCGCACGCGATGCCGTGCTTCGCGGAGTGGAGGGCTGGCTCCACGGCCGCATGCCGCTCCCAAAAACAGCCCCCTCAGACCAAGTTGCGACTTCGAGGTTGACGTCGTGTCATTTTCGGGTTTAGCTAATTTCGCGAAGTTTAGCTAAGATCTTTACTTTGCCTCGAGCAATGAGGGCTCCAGCTCAAAAGCTAGAAGCGATATCGCCAGCGCCAGAACTTCAATGCCCGCGATCCGATCGCCTCCAGCAGCAGACTTTCATGGCAACGAAAGCGGTTCTACGGTTCTACTCTTCCGTCACGAGCCGCACGAGCAGCTCCCGCTGCAAGGAAGAAGCTCCATGTCGACTACTTGGCCCAGCAGTGGTGCCCCAGCCGGGCCCCCTCCCAGCCACAATTCCTTTCATGCAGGAGTCCCGCAGATGGCTACCGTCGCTGGTCCCGTGTTGTTGTTTTTCTGCTGCTGACCCTGTTGATGCTGCTGCCGCTGCCGCTGCTGCTGCTGCTGCTGCTGCTGCTGCGGTGTTGTTGCCGTGGTTCTTCCCGTCGCGTTGCTGTTTTCCCTTAGTTTGTGCGACTCCAGAGCTACTTCTGCATAGCATATGCCACGAAAGTTCTTAAAGTAACACTGATCTCACTGTATCCCGTCTTCTCTTTCTGGCCGCCCTCTATGGTCTGGCGGAGTGTTTTGGTGGCTGTGTGCACAGTTGCACAGGTACGGCTTCGCCTTCGGAACTTTCAACCAGCCGGGCATGTCGGCAAGCGACGGAGGTGCTCCGATTCACAGCTTGTGGTTCTCGTTGCGGTGAGTCGGCGTCCGTACGAAGCTTGGGAGGATCCCCGGTCCAGCAGTTCCCGTCCCTTCTGAAGAAAAGTGGCAGAACACGGCAGAACTCCGCGAACCGGCTTCGAAAGCCGCCAAAGCCGTGAAATGCTACGCCAAAGCCAGGTGCTGCCTCCTCTGCACAGGCCTGGATCGTATGGTAGGTTGCGATGAGATGCCATATGTTCTGTGTCGTGAGGTAAAGAGCCGCTGTCTGTGGAAGTTGAAGTCGCTCTCGCAATTTGCAAGATGGAGTGCACACAAAGTGCGAAGGAGAGCTTCGTGGCCGGCAGCTTCTGGATGAGCAAAGTCTTCCGCTGGCCATCGGCTCAGGTCTACAACTCGAAGACCGTTAAAACAAGAGCAGCCAGACCCAAGGTTCGATGGCTACGCACAGGACCTCTACAAGGCCGGAGCCTGGATCCAGCGAGTAGGAAGGTGTCTGTCGACTCTCCTGAAAGAGAGGAGTGAGGAGTGGCGGCTTTGAGTCGTGAGTCATGTCTGACAGTCGCAGAGGCCATGCTCGAGCTGGAGGGGGCGGAACTGCAACTTGGCTTGCAAATGACTCGTGTTCACACTAGGCTTCAGGTTGTGCACTCATTGCATCAGTTGGTGGGTCGTGGTGATGATCCTAATGGGGACCACGTAGCGGCAGTACCACGGATCCTTCTCGCAGCCACTTCGGAAGGACTGAGGTTGTGGAAAGCAGGAGAACACATGCAGGGAAACTGACTTGAGCGACTTACTAATAGGGACATGATTTTGAGTCTAGGTAGCTGTTCATGTCTACGTGAGCCTACTACATTTGAGCAAATAGTATATCATCTTTTCGACACTGCTACAGCTGTAACTCTCACTCGACAAGAGGACGAAGAACAGCAGAGCCTGTTCCTAGTAACCTGACAGGCTCTGTCAGTTCAGGAGCTTGAGTGTTGCGTGACCAGAGCCTGCAACCAAGGACGTCCGGCGAGGGCCCAGTACGCCTTCACCACCAGGACTGCTCGTGTCCAAGACACCCTCAGGGGATCTTCAAGGGCTCATCCTTTGCCTGCAGGACGAGCAGGGATCCTTTGTGACCTACGAGTTCCTGCGGCGGAAGGCGCCCGAGTGAAAGGAATCCTCGCAGCTTACTCCCGCTTTCTGACTGAACTCGCATCATCGTGAGGCTCCTCTGCCCCCGGTCACGCTTGCACCCTTTTTTCCGCCTCTCAAACCGCACAGAGTCTGGAGGTGTTCGGCCAGTGGGCCATTGACAAGGGGCTCCTCCGCCGGGGCCCAGCAAGTTTGGGTTCATCGCGTGGCCCGGAATCTGCAGTCGTACCCAGCTTTCCCAGAAGGTTGAGTGATCTTGATTGTTTCGTGAATGCTGGTAGCTGCTAGCAAGAAGACGAAAGACCGGACTGGCAAGGTGGGCTGATACGCCACGTCTGGCAGCCGCTCGCCGGCTTTGAAGTTCAGAAGAGGGAATTCTTAGAGCTTTTCCAGGGATCCGGCGGGACCGCGGGGACTCTTTCCGCGGAGGAGAGGAGCGGGAGGAGCGGTGATGGAGCGTCTCTTCTTTCCCCTCGTTCCGCGGCATCGCCAGGCCGGGATTCGAGGCCACGCGGCGCCTGGCCATCGGCGACTTCGGAGCCGGAGGCGCCCGGGCCTTCTGGGCGAGTGCTCCGTGACTCCTTGGCTTCAGCTCAGCAGCTCTGCAGCTTGCAGGCGGGCACTACAGCAAGTGGATCCTCGGCTGTCAGCATTCAGAATTCAGCTGTCTTGAGGCGTCATTGCGACCTCGGCGCTGCTCGAGCTTTCATTGATTGGAGCTTCTCAATATGCGCCGCGAATTTTCCAACCTTTCGTTTCATCCAAGAAAAGAAAGCAGCCTCCCCAAGCCGCGACCAAAGGCTCAATGAGACCGGCCTGGTGGAAGCCTTTGCCTTCGACGGCACACACCAGGCGCCAGCGCACGCAAAAACGTCTCCAGCTTTCATCATGGCCAGGGTGCTGAAGCTAGGAGTGGAAGAAGCACTAGCAGCGGCCGTGGTAGGTGCCCCGTCCCCAAGCAGGAAGATCAACATCGTGTCATTAAAACAGCGGTAACGCTACAAAAAAGACATGACAAAGCCGTCCACAACCCTAAGCCGAACTGCCCTTCCCCACCCAGCATCCTCAGAAACAGGCTGCCGAACTCACGGACGGTCTGGTGCAAGAGGTGAACCTCGTCCAGGCCTGCGGTGGGCGCCGTTTTTCGACGGATGTGTTCATGCAAGGCCTTGTAAAGTACTGGTACATGTCAATGGATCGTGCGAGGTTAGGGGGGTGCGCACGGTTAGTATGTGCTGTTGTCAGGTTGCAGACTATCAGAAAAGCGCCATGCCTTGCAGGATCTGACCTTGTGGCGCACCTTTGACTGGGTGCTGTGCCTGGAGGTCGGCGAGCACGTGCCAAAACAGCAGCCAGGCCGCACAAGTGTCGCACCTGGGAAGACCAAGCAGAGATGGTTCTGCGATACTTGCGCCAGTCGACTGTCGTCGGACTGGTACTCCTCCTCGACTCGTCCTCTTCCTGTCGTGGTCCCACGTAGTGCTGTTCGTATCACTATCGCAAGTACACTGGCGACGACGACGACTGCGACTACTAGTACGACGACAACGGCTACCACTGCTGTGACTTTTACCGGTGCCTCTACTGCTGCAGCTGACTACCACGTTGCCGACGGTACACAAGAACGGTCGATTCAGCAGCAATAAAGAAAGAAATGCTGCTGTCAAGGCTCAGCAATCTGCAGTCTTAGGGGATCTAAACGTGAAAGAGAAGATGCAGCAGAGGCAGTCTTAGGATCCCAGAGCCGAGCGTTTCCGTGAGGTACTCGTCGACGCTGCTGTCGAACCTGAAGCGCCACGCTCGAAAGGCACATGTTGAGAACTTCTATGGGCATCTGGTGTATCTGGTATCTAGTAGCTTCTGACAAAGCAGGTGCATGGACGAACTGGACTCATCCTTAGCGTGCATTTTTACCGCCTGCAATCTGCAGTGTTGGGGTTAGTGCCACAGTACTCTTGATTTCGAGCACTGCTTGATTAATTAATATACTCATAAGTTCTTTTTAATCTTATTGCATCGGCTGCTATGGCATTATGAACCCGAATATTCTAAACCCTCCTACCCTAAGCTCGAATACCCTTAACACCGAAGATCATGAGCTGCCCGTCTTTCGTTAATCGAGTCGAGCATCATTTGAGTTCCGGAACACTGATCTAAGTCACGGGCGCAGGGGCATCATGGGTGCAACCGGAAAACCTGAAACCTGGAGACACAAACCCCTGAAAACACTAGACGCTCAAACTATGAAATCGGCCATGGAAAAGCATGATGCTGTCGCGAGCGGGAAAGAATGCGTACGCGCACAAGAAGCTGGAGAAGCGACTGGAGAGAAACAGACAGAAGCGGAAACCTCCTTCTCGTCGGCTTCACTCGATAGTGACTCTGCCAGAGACGGATCGGATCGGACGGAAGCGGCGCAAATGCCGAGGGTGCTGCAGCGCACCTTTCGGGCCTTCTTCGTGCAAGGTGCCATGGCGAAGCAAGCTCAAACTCCTCCACGCTGTGACGCCATGGCTGCTGCCATTGTATTGCAATTGCAGCATGGCAGATAGCCGTCCGAGCAAGCTGGCAGTCCAAGCTTTAGATCGCTGGCAATCTGAACGGACGGCAGAATAGGTCACTAAACGATGCGGCCTCGCGTGACTATGCGGCTGTAATCGGCTTGGCACTGCATCGTTCTGCATGGTTAGGGGCAGACGGATCTGTTCCAGCATAGGCCATCATCATTAGTAAAGAGCAACGACTGTGCTGCTCCTGACCAGCATTTCGACTAGAGGTCGTCGAGTAGTTCTTCAAACCTTGGCTTGCGTACAGTGTGCTGCTCGAAATTGTGATGTTTGCGCTGGAAAGCGGCTTGCTGGAGAGAAAGAGCTAGCAGTATTCCCTTGGCTCCGATACAATGTAGCGTACTCGTAGGGGTTTACAGTGCATACTTTGCTAAACCCTCCAAACGCGACTCCGAAGACATTTGCACAATTTGCCTTGTGGAGGGCCTCGTGATGTCCTGGTCCGACGACTGGGAGGGCATCGGCCACGTCAACTGCCTCTCGCGGCCTGAGTTTATTGCCCCGGAGCCCAGTGGTCCCAGCGTCCATCTAGCAGGTAGTCTTCGCCGTCATCGCCGTCATCATTGTCACTGTTGCCTTGTAATCCTGGTCGTAGTCGTCGTTGCCAAACCAAACTGCGTTTGGGTGTGGTGTCAGACTGCCAGATGCCAGAGTCGTCGTCGGGCCGGAGCCCAAGGCCTTCGTTCAAAAGTCCACGGGCTTCCTGCTGGACGAGGCAGCGACGGAGGCCTTAAGGGATCTCAGCGGCTCCTGTCTTTGGGGGCTCTAGGCTCTCGTGCTCAGTTCTTGGAGGTGGTGCGCGGGGCATGCGAAATTGACTACATCGCCAGGCCTGCCCGGCGCCTTTCTGGTGGTGTTGCCGTTGCATCATGTTGCCGCCTTTTGAGAAGCCCACTTTCCAAGCTTAGAGTTAGATTGGAGCTCACTGGGCCAGTCTGGTGTCAGGTTGAATGTGTCACGCACGTATCGCAGAATCGTGAGCGCAGTCGCAACTCAACAGTGTAATTATTCGGTTTGCAGCACTTGGAGGATGTCGGCCGAGATGACAGTGGTTGCAGCTTCGATGGTGATGATGGTAATCATCATCACCCTCACCATCAATACTAATTCTAATCACAAGAATAATGCCTATCAGCATCATCATCATCATCATCACCATCATGCTGGTGGTGATGGCGGTGGCGGCGGTGGTGGTGGTGGCGGCGTCGGTGTACATGGCGGTAGGTTTTGAAGGTGATGTGGATGTGGGTTGCAGGATGTCCTTATCCAAAGATAAGATCCCCATGACCAGAGATTGCAGCATGTTGGGTGCTGCATCGTAGCTTGCCTGCAGCAGGACTCTTGCGGTTTTCCGGGCCCCGAGCTGATGGCGGCTTGCGGCGCGGCGGCGTGCTGATGAAAAGTGCTATCGTCTGATGGACATGGTCTGGTCCTGGCACTCCTCCTCCTCCTCACCTCCTCCGCCGTCTCCTGCTCTGCCGCTAGCACCACCACGGCCAGTACCACCGTCACCACCATTCCCACTGAAGGACAGGAGTAATACCAAGATGGGTGGTCACGGTTGTCTGCACTTCCGACAGAAGCATGGTGGAGCTGCAGCACTTCAGTAGCAATACTGTGCGAGACAGAGAGAGGGAGAGAGAGTCGTTCAGACTTGTATTTTCCATCTCTTTGCTCCTTGCGTGGCTGCCTTGGCTCGGCTGCGCTCGAAGGTTCCAGTAGAAGGGCGACGTCGCGCCTTGCAGAGCTCCGTAGAGCGGGTTTAGGGTTCCCTTTTGTGTCACCGGCTGCAAAGCTCGGGCCTCAGCAGAGCAGTGTTTGCAAATGCCTGAGTTGAGCTCGGCGGCAGCCCAGAAGGCTCAGAGGCCCAGAAGGCCCAGGGAGGGCCCAGGGAGGGCCTTCCATCCGAGAGCGAACCTCTGCAGACCTAACTCTGCGCGCGCCATGCTGGTTGCGGTCCTCTGGGCGGCGGTCGTCTCTGGGGCCACGCGTGCACCGGTGCTCGTCCTGGCCTCTGCGCCGGCAGACGCTGCTGGATGCTCTTCGGCAGAGGCAACGGAGGAGGTTTTGGACGAGGTGGTTGCCCTGCAGCTCACAAGCGAGAACCAGAACCAGGTGGCCGAGAGACTTGAGGAAGGCAGCGCAGGCTCCGTGGAGTCGGACTGGGCCTGGAAGCGCTGGATGCCCCAGAAGCACTTGAAGCAGAGGCGCTCGCGCTCCGGGTGGAGCCGCGGCCGTGGCCGCGTGGCGAAAAGATGGCCCAAAGCGGCGCACCGCTGGGGACGCCGAGGCCGTGGACTCAGAAGGTGGCGCAGGAGGGCACTTCGCCCAAGGACGTCGACTGTCTGCCTGAGGTTCTCCTTCATCAATGCACTGAACGGCCAGGGGACCATCACGGGAGTCGTGAGGGGTCTGAAGTGTTCCTCCGGCTCGGAGACCACTTCGAAGGCTGAACAGGTGGAAGTCTTGTCCAATACCGAGAACTGGAACGACCCTCCAAACAGTGGAGTCGGAAACTACATCGGGAATGGCTATGACGTAGCACGGTCCGGAGACAATAGCTGGACTCTTGACAGAAGCTGTAGCCCGACGAAGTATCGATTCTTTGCTTTCAACAAAGAAGAAGCCAATCCTGGGCCCCCTGCAGACGCGACGCTCCTTATCTTCAGCTATGCACCCAAGATGGGAGCCCTTGCATATAGGTATCCGGACCTCTACGGGAAAGACATGACGGAAGAGGATTATGACTTGACCTTCGAGCAGACGCCCTGTAATTAAAGTTAAAGGGCAAAGTGGAGCTGTTCTTAGGGAGGCTTTTCCACCATGCCTCAAGGGATGTGTTTGTGACCTGCCCCTTTTCCTGTCTCCGCATGAGGAGAGCTTTTAAGGAACAAGACGCCCACTGGATCAAAAGTAGGGGGTGCAAGGGCCGACATGGGAGGGCCCAGAGCCAAGCATGTCGATCAAGGTCTTGAAGCCCTGCTACAAAGTGGAAGAAGTGAAGAAACATGATGGCAGCACCTCTCTTGTGCCCCTAGCTCCTTCCAAAGATAAGACCATTTAGGTCCCAGCAGCCGGGAATTCCATGCAATCACCGCCCACCCCGCTATGGGAGGTTAGACCCAGCGCGATGGTCGAGAAAATCATGCCGGGCCCCCAAAAAGAGGAGCGGGCGAGTGGCCTCCGAAGACAGGATGCTGGAGGAGTGGGTTTTTAGGGCGCTTCGGGTGGTAAGCGTATCAGAAGTCGCCATGTGTCAGGGTACGTACGTGCCAATGCAGAACACTCACTCACATACGCGCGGTAAATGCCCAACCAGACGGTGCATAGGTAAAGCATCCATGATTCCAGAAAAAATGGTTTTCTCCCCTTCGAGCGCCACATCCGCAGCTCCAGGTCGTAGGATTCCGAGTGAACAAGATTCTGGTTGTTGCTGCTACTGTTGGCTAGCAGGGCATGTCATCGCACTCGTTGCCACCCCTTGCATTCCTGCTGCTGGTATTATCAGCTACTATCATGTGCCCTTACGACGACGACCATGCTGATCTTGCGGTCGCGGCTTGCGGCCTTGCGGCTATTGCTGTGGTGAGCTCAAGACGTGACTTCGACTCCGAGAGCCTTTCGCGCTCTTCCCAATCTGCAAGCCTCGTTACGAGGCTTGCGAGCGAGAGCCATGTTGGCTCCATAATAAGCTCATCTCGGCAGCGAAACTTGAGCTGAATGGACGTGACAGGAACTCTCGCAACATGTCTGAAGGATGGCATGTGCAGAGTTGATTCAGACCCTGGACTTTGTTAACTCGCCTTGCCCAGCATTCTGGAACTTGGACTAGGGCTAAAACGGCATCGCCAGGAAAAGTCGCGCTCCGCATCCAAGTGCGACTGCCAAGGTGCGATCCGTCGGCGAACTTTTTTGGCATGCTGGGGGTCAGCAGTGCCATCGTGACCTGTCTGATATGGAGCGGGCCGCGGTAGCAGGAGGTCTGGGGCGTTGGGCTGAGGGATTCCATGAAGACTTGCGGAGGGATTAGATGCAGTCGCCTGGCTTGGGCTTCCTACTTCAAGCCCTCATGTACATCACGGTCGGAAAGCAGCCAGAAAAGTGACGAGAATCCAGGGAGAAACTGCAAATCGCGGAAACCTTCGTTAGTTTTTGCAGATACATGAGAGTGGTATTGTCGTTCGGAGCGCTGAGAACAAACGAAACAGAAGTCGAAGTCTCATGGTCACATGTGGAACAACAACCACAAGCGTGGGGTTTGACCTCTGCGCTGCAAGCCAAGCTTCCGGAGGCGTGCATTTGCTCGCTAAGCCTGGAGCTTTACACATCCCTCAAAGGAGCCTTTCCTCCTCGGAGCCCTTTACTTCTTTGAAGGGAACACCACAGCAGCCAGCTCGAAAATCAGCCTACAAAACCCGAGGTCTTGGCAAACCTCGGTGCAGCCTACGGCACCGCCAAGAGTGGGGTCGGCATCGCCAACTTGGGCGTCCGGAACTCGGCGAGCGAACAAGGGCGTCGCGTCTTTTTCGCCAAGCTCACAACCACGGCATTGCAACGTGTTGCTATGAGTCATGCGATCATGAGCACTTCCTTCCCAAACCTGCCAGGTTATGCGACCAGACATGGTCATGAGGCTCCCGTGGAGAGGGCTGCTGCATAATGCTTGCAGTACCGGCTGGAGAAACGGTGCGGCTTGCTCCGGCCGGTCTCGAACTTTCTGTCCTCCAAATCGGCGTGCGGTCCAGTCGCAGAGAGCTTTGAGTCGGGGTTCCCCAAACAACACCGAAACCGTTCAGGTCCATCATCCCAGTGGTCATGGCAGGTGTGCCCGACACCCAGCAGTGGTGTGCGGCAGAGATGCCTCTTGAAGTCAAAGGAGTAGCAGAATCCAATCAGCCTTTTTTTGGAGCTTCCCTTGGGTTGTGGCCAACAGCCTAGGCTTGGCATCTACGGGCTAATCACTAGCGTGATTATCAACGGCGGGCACCCGAGCTTCTGGGGTTGGAGTCGGGGGTGTTCTCACAGTTTGAGGCGAGTTGTTCTTGTCGATTCTGTGCACGTTCAGACTTCCGAGCACCCTCAGCAGCCAGTCTTCTCCAAGCCCAGCCCAGTCTTTCCAGGTAGCGCAGTGCCAGTTCCCCCCCCACCCACGGGCCCACTTTTTCCATGCCTTCCAAGGTGCTAGCAATATACCAACCCCGTTATCTCACCAAAGCCTTCCAAGACAATGTCTGCTTCTCTGGGCACAGAACAACCTCAAGGTCCGGCTCCCAAACATGTCACTCTAGTTTACGATGAGCCACTGTGGAGGCACCCAGAGAAGCCACGGTACGGAGATTTTTCCGCTTTGGGCCCTTGTAAGTTCCTGGTGTCTGCGGCTCCTTGGAATCCTTGATTCTGAGAGGCAAGATCCATGCTCCCTCCTACTCGGCCTGGTGCCTACCATGGGGAAAGCCCATATATAAGTGCGCTCTAATAAGTACGTAAGGGATCTTGCAACAGGGATCCCATTGATTTCCAGGGTTCTCTGGTGCTGTGGTCCTGTTTACATTTTACAGGATCGTACTACTTGCAATAGGGCGTCAAATGGGGTCCTTTGTTTTCTGAAAGTCGCAGAGGTTGAGTCAAGTCATCTTCTTCCGAAGGACCGACCCTGTCGAGTCGAGATCTTTGCAGGGATCTACTTCTAGGCTGCAGGGTTTCAGTCCGTTCTCTTGGGTACAGAGTTTAGGGCTTATAAGGGTAGGGAGAGGGAGACTGAGACCTTGCTCGTAGAGCCCCAGACTCGTGAGCCTCCGCTGAGTCCTACTCCGGCTACGCGCACCTGGCGGCCGGGTGCCCAGTCCGTTGCTCTGGGCCCCGAACCGGCCGGAAATGGCAGCGAAGCCTTTCGGAGTGCGATGTAGTAGCAGGAGGAGGAGGAGTAGTAGTAGTAGTAGTAGCAGCACTAGCAGTAGCACTAGCAGTAGCAGCAGCAAGAGGAGGAGGAGGAGGAGGAGGAGGAGGAGGAGGAGGAGGAGGAGGAGGAGGAGGAGGAGGAGTAGGAGTAGTAGTTGAAGTAGCAGCAGTAGAAGCGGCAGTAGTAGTAATGCATATTGTGCATGAGGCGGCGATGAGGTAATGTGGCACGTATGTGCGGAAAATGTGGACAGCTGTCAAATGTGCAAGAACGCTGATCATTGCTCATCTAGAAAGTTCGAGTGTGAAAGCATAAATTGATGAGGGCTTGGGATCCTTTTCATGTGGGGAAGGGAAGTTGTGCAAGACTGAGGGGGCCCGTGGTGGGCCGTGGGTCAACGCTTTTCGATGTTGCATCGGAAGTCGAAAGCAAACGTGGTAGCCGAATGCCTCCGGATTCAACGTTTATTCTGGAAAAGACTTGCATTTACGGGACTTACATCGTCGCATTGGTCGCCCGAAGCCGAAGGTTTTTTACCGGTGAGACTGACCTCATGCCTTTCAAGCCCTCAGATGTCAATTCCCGTCACCTGTCTTTGTCTGCAGCCTTTAGAAGGCCGGCGTGACAGTCGGCATGAGCTCGCTAGCTGCAGGCCCGTGAGAGGGACTCGTGCATGATGTATGAGCGTCTTTCCGACCGCCGGTCGGGAGGTATGGCGATTGGGGTAGTCGGAGATGCCGGAGTGCGAGCGAATGCCCAGGAGTCGGCACCTCAACGAGATCACTTGACTGAGTCAACCTTGATAGAGAATAGAGACACAGTCCCATATCCAATGCTTCGAGGCCCAGACTTTTCGTCGGCATGATTTTGATCCTGATCTTCGCAGAGGACGCCCTGCTTCAATCCTTGGGCTGCTTTAAAGTGATGGGACGTAGCTGCTGAGCTTCCCCAAACCCGCAGTCCGAAGCGCTGTTCGAGGCATTAGGCCTGTACGGCCTCATCGTGGGCCTGGTCGTAGCATCCACGGCCGAGGGCAAAGGGTGAGCCGCCCAGAACTTGAGTGGAGCCTTAGCCGTGGCTTTTGTGAACATTGCGGCACTCGCACCTAAGCCAGACCATGTCATAGCTGAAACCTGCAAGCGCTCAAGACCTAAAGCTCTAATTCCGTATCTCAGGAGCGACCTGTGCATTCCGTGGGACCAGTGAGTGGAGACGGCTGCATTCGCACTGATGGGGCCAAGGGCTTCGGGACGTCTGCAAGCACGTTGAAAATAGGTTGAGCCGCAATAACTGCATCGGGCAGTCGCTTCGGCTGTGTGCATGCTTCCGCTACTACTCAGCTACCGCTCCTAGTGCAAAGGTACCCCGACATCCTTCGCGAGTTCGAGTGATAGCCAAGCCAAAGCAAGGAGAAGCCGGCCTGGAGCACAAAGCAAGATTCCTATTTACCCGCTATCAATGCCCCTATTCCTGTTGATGATGCAGTGAGAGCTGTTCAGACAACTTCACTTCTAAGTGTAATTGAACATCCCGGGTAGCGGTTTCCATGCGCGTCACCGAAACTCGACGAGCCATCTGCACCGCAAGTATTGGCCACCCTGTCACCCTCCATGATATCCAAGAGTTATTGCACGAGAGAGAGTGGCGCCACTCCCTCCGCAGCAGTGTCGGACGACCAGCAGCTTTGCCAGAGGTTCGTAATGATGAGCAGAGGTATATCTCAAGAAAAATGAGTTCGCGATTCCTATGGCAAAGGCGCTGCTCGCCGGCCTGAGACGCCCAGCTCGAAAGGCGAGCGGCCGGACATCAGACAAGCACAGGTACGCTGGTAAAGAGAAAAGCCAATCCACCTCGACCCCCCAACTGCCCTTAACCCTGATCCCTCTTCATCTGCACAAGAGTAGTACCTCGAAGACCCTCAGCGGCTTCATCTAGTCTGTACAGCGCACTGCATGCCCTCACAGACGCGCAGACCGCGCACGCCTTCCGAGACGGCTCAACTCCGAAGTTTTGAGATCGCGTTGAAAGCGAAGCCGTCCACACTGAGAGGCCACGAAGCCTTCGGGCTCTCTGGAGGCTTCTCTGGCTCGGATCCCCGCCACCCGGGTCTCAAAACAAGAAGGATCTTGCAGGTGCCAGCATGGTGGGCCTATGGCGAAGGCTTTGCGCATCTCAGGCTCAAGTCAGGCGCCTTCTCCTCCTTCCTCGAGGTGTTTTTTCCGTCGCCGGTTGTCAAAAAATGATATGGAAGGCCGCTGGGCCAGGTGAGACTTCCGCGGAAAACGCCACCAGAGTGGCTCCCCCCCTTTGCCAGGACGCCCGGCGGGATGGGCGCGGGATCCGGAAACGGCGGTGCCCGCAATGCTTCGAGGCAGGGTCGCCATTTGTCACGTCCACCGTCTGTTGGCAAACCTGCTGGCACGCTTGCACCCAGCTTGCACCCAGCTTGCACCCAGCTTGCACCCCAGCTGCCAGCGCTTTGTCTGGAGGTGTCTGGCCGGAGGAGCTGCTCCAGGCTGCGACGCATGCCATGGGTGTGCAGCTCTGCCTACCGGTATCGTGCGCTCTTATGTTGCAGTTTCGTATGTATGCAGGCATGTATGGATGTAACGTAGTTATGTACCAATGAATGATGCATTTGCACACATAGGCCTGCGAAAGTATGCGGTCTTTGGACCCTGCGTGCAACACCCAAAACTACGAGCGGGGTCGATGTTCCGAATCAGATTGTGCACATCAAATTCAAAGTCTGATGCTCGAGAGCACCTGCAAAAGGTTCGTGAACCTGCACGAATGTGTGCTAGTGTCAGTGCCGCCAAGACCAGATTGGAGGAAGCAAGGGCAAAGTAGTCATCAGCCTTGCGAAGGATCCAGCCAGACGACCGCGGTATGTCACGACGGCCGAGGAATTCTTGTCAGAGCTCTTGACGGGGGAACACGTAGAGGACGGAAGATGACGGAAGACGGAACGCCGCTGTCGCTCCGCCGCTGCCACGGAGGATTTCGTCATCTTGCCGAACGGGACGGAGCTCCTAGGTTTGAGCTACGAGGACAGCTTAATCCCTTGCAGTGCCCTGGCACTGCCATGCAGCCAGGACACGATTCCGGTTGAAGTTCGATCGTGCATGCGAGACTGCCGAAGCCTCGATCACAAGCCCGCGACGAAGCGGACGCACACAGAGTTTCAAGTCACAGAATCTCTTCACACACAGGTCGCACTGCGCAAGATTTCGTGAAGAAGCTGCTGCAAAATCCGGAGGCCCCGGAGCGAGAGACCGCATCAGCCCTCTGCCCTGTGCCCTGCCAGCAGCATGTCAGAGTCGCGCCCAGATGTTGGAGAAGTATCGCGCTGATGTGGAATACGTGGATTCCAAGCGCAAGGGTCCCGGAAAAATCTGTTGCAAGTCACCCCAAACCCGAAGCTCCGTGTCAGTATCCCTACAGCCTAAGCCCATAACCACAACTTGCAGAAGGTCAGCAGCGGGACACCTTGCGGAAGGACAAGCCAGACCTGGGGAAGCGGATCCGTGAAGCGTTGAGGATGGTGGAGGCCGGAGATCCATGGAAATAGGGGTTCTCTTTCAAGGGATCCTTGAAAGGGTCTATAAAGGATCTACAATAGGGTTCTATAGCTCAGAGGATCCCGCGATAAAGCCTTCATTGTGCTAGAGTAACGACCCTTCTAAAGCCCTTGAAAGGTACAACATCCCTCTCTTTCTAGCAGGCCGGAGAGGTTGACGCTGAGCTTCTGTACGTGGCCGAGATGAGGCGGCGTAGCGTCTCTGACATCTCAAAGCGGTGTCAGGGTTGGTCGTGGGTTCAGGCCAGTTTGGGCGGTTTGGCATGTGAGGGCTTAGGGTTTGGGATGTTTTAGGTTTAGGGCGTATGGTTTTTCTAAGACTTAGGACTTAGGCTTGGAGTTGTGAGGTTGAGACCGATGGCATGTGTAAAGAGTTGCACATAGCATCATCCAATCTTGCTGCGCAAGTAGATTCAAGTGCTCTGCTTGACAATGGCTGCATGCTGTTCGGGTGAACTCGAGCACCTTACGCAAGTCCCAGGGAGAAAAATGGAGCATTGTCAACCTCGAGCTTGTGGATAAGCAGGCGTATGGACTGGAAAAAAATCCTAGTGATACCCTGGAGTCTGCTGCCCCAAGGGCTTGTTGCGCTTGAGCTTGGCTTCGTTTTGGTTGCCGGTGACGTAAGTTAAAGCGGAGCTCGCGTCGCCCTCCCACTTCCCATGATGGCAGTTGCATCCAGCCGTCATGGCTTTCACGGCATTCAAGATGTCGCTGCTGCTTGCAAAAGGTATATCACTGCCGCATCTCTCGCCCTGCCTTCGCCCTCTCGAACACGCGCAGCGTGAAGCGAACCAGCAACTCCTGGCCGGGAGACGGCGCCACTGCGACTCGCCATCCACCATCCGCCATGGCCAGGACATTGAATGTAATGTGGTTGACCGCTACCGGCGGCGTCCCAACAGTGCAGTGTCCTTGCTTTGTCGCCCTCAGCAGGTGTAGCAGTGTCACTCGGCGTGACATGTGTTAGCGCGCAAATCAGCTTGGCCAAAATCCGCCAACAGAGACTCTTTTGAAGGAAGATCTTCGCAGGCCTCGTGTCACGCATCTCCCGCACACCAGCCCTTCAAAACGTGGCGTTGACGAGAGGCATGGACATCCACCGGGGCGGCGGAGGTTTCGCTGCAAGTCGATTTCTTCTCGCAAGGCAGACTTTCAATTTCAAGCATCGGCAAGCGCCCTTTTCAGTCACACAACGGAATCTTGCGAAGCTGCATAAACATGCAGTTCGCCTGTTGGTGTAATCCTGACTGGGACTGACGCAATGCTTCTCGCGACACAAAGCAGGTCGCTTTGCTATCGCCAGCACTTCGAACCGTGGCCTCGGTTTTCGCCTGCATCGGTGGACGTAGTGCTGATCTTCCGGACGATGCGCGTCAAACCTTGGTGATGCAGGGCGCCGCGACGGCCCAACATTCTACGTGTCGCAGACTCTTGCGCGAATGCCGAAATTCGACTGCCCTCCAGTCCGAACATCGCGCTGTCGCCGACCCTGCCGTGCAATGTCTGGAGAAACATCCCGCCTTGCGGTGTGCCCACCCTCTGGCAAAATCGCCCTGCCACCTGCAACCAATTTCGAATGCTCCCGACATACTCCGCACGTTGAGCTGACTGCTTTTGATTCCTGCAACCAAATAGGTATTTGCGTGTACATCAAGCGGGGCGGGCGCCAGGCGAGCAGCTGAAATGAGCCGTGACAAACTCTTCCAGCTTTTTCACAATCTCACGTCGCTGTTGTTGGCAACAAACTAGTGATTAATTGACGATCGCGACGGCTCAAACGCCGTCACGGCACCATACGGCGCCGCAGCGGCAAGAAGTGCGGCAAGAGATCCTGTTGCAGGCCGCCCGTGAGGGGGTGGAGCTGCTGCGGCGCCGGCTTCCCGCAAAACAGCGCACTTGCATAGACTTTCATGCGCCGGTGCGCGAACAGAAGCAATCGTCGTGCGAAAGACCTTAGCGCCCCCATGGCAACAGACAGCGACGAGATCCTGACAGCCCAGGCCACTGGCACCCCCTCCTGTTGAGCGGAAATCAAGCGGTTCTTTGCGTCGCCGCAGTTCGATTTGCGTGTTGTGTCGGCGCACGACGGGACAGCTCCTGCATCAGTATGGAGCAAGTGCTTTATCCCGGCTCACTGGTTGAGGAATCTTCCGGTGGCTAGCTGTGTCAACGACCATCGACAGGAAACCGTGCATGGGCGATGCCGGCGATTCAGATGTTGCCAGCGCTTGAAACGATGGTATGGCAAACTTGCCTTGACACGTAGGGCTCGTAGCTTTGTGAGCCACACAGTGGTTGAAATCCCGGGCACAGTTGGTGTGTTTGCCGTCCTCACGTGACCGCTGCGAAGTCAAGTGCTGCCATTGTTTGTCCATGATTTTCTTCGCTGACCGTGCGTCCCACATGTGATGGGATACAGCGGCATGGATCTCCGCAGCAAAAAGCAACCGATAGCACTAGGCTTGCTGACACGGGTAGTGCTGCAGTGGGAAATGCAGCTGATGACAAAGATCCCAGACGTTTCTCAAAAGATAGGGGTGTCCGCATACCGAGCAATGGCTCTTGCAAGACGGTGTCGGCCTGTTATGTTGCCCCTGACTGGCATATACTGGCATGGCCGATGTTGACGGGGAGCTATCACCTCTGAGCGACATCCTCGCCGACTCGCCTTCCCAGCCCCCGCTCGCCAGCCATCGCCAGCCGTGCGGCGTCAATGCGCTCTCCACTCGCCGCTTTTGCAACTTTTTGCCATAAACTGTTGCCTTGGCTTTGGGCTTCTCTCTGCACATGAACCGAGCTGGTTTGGACGTCGGTAAGAAGGTTTGCGGAAAAATAAAACGGGACAGCGACAAGCGAAAGCTGGGAAGGCGAGTTAGCGAGGATGCGCTCAGATCCGAGTGTCGCCAGTTCTCAGGGAACGGTTTTGTCGCAACGCCAACAGTATACATGATGGAGCCGTAGGTCCAACCGCTGCCTGCTCACTGTGATTGGTCTTGAGATTGGGGGCAGCTCGGTTCCGAACCGTGCATCGCACATCAGCTTCGCGAGCCAGCGAACTAATTAAGACCGCTTGCTCGAGGCCACACCTGGCACGCAGGCAGCGTGGTTGTTTCTGCGCTATTGCCCTGCACCATGCGCCAACTATACTTGCTTCAGGTCTTGTCCCCGGCCTTCACGGCCAGCGCAGCTGCCTTCACTACGACGTTTCCACGCGCTGTGGAGTGTGTTTCCGATCATGACTTGTTCTCCTTCGCCTGGAGTAGCTCTGGGGTGCAGCAATGGGACGCCTGCAACACAGCGTGCAACCTGACAGTCGGTTCGATTACTTGGTCCCGGGGCTATCTCGTATCACTTGGGTGTTTTTACGCATCTGCAAGGCGTGTATTTCGGTGAACGCATTATAAACGTTATATCATCTTATCAAGCTCTGTATTTTCACCTTCATAGTCTTCGGCGTCCGCAGCACGCTCTCGCATCTGTCAGTGTCAGTGGGCTTGCGCGCGCTCATCTTCGCACGAGTGCGGGATAGCGCTTACAGGCTCGTAAGAACATGTAGTTGGAAGACATCTCACCCCGGCAAGCACATGGGGATTCCGAGGTAAAGCGTGGGAGATCGTGGGAGTGCGCTGTGTGGCGACGTTGAAAACTCCAGATATGCAGGGACACCGGCCCGTACATGTACAAGCTAGGCTAAACCTCTTAGATGTGTCGCTTCTGACCCCTACCTCGCGCGGACCTCGCGCAACCTCGCGCGGGACTCGCGTAGTGCCACCATGTTGCTGAAGATCCTGCGGTTCAGCCGGACAGTGGGAGCAGCGTTACTCGGGAGTAGTTTGCAAACCGTCAGCCGTGAACCCCAATCTGTGCGTTCCCGAAGGAGAGGGGGCTGCAACCAATAGTGAGGGCGCTGTTTGCAACCATGATCCGACAAAGCTCCTTGAAACCCAGCGTGTGCATGCAGTTTCCGCTCGTTTCGAGGCTTGGATAGCTCCCACTAGAACGGGGCGTTGACGTCCAAATCCCAGCGTCTACTTGGCAAGCGCACTGCTTTCTTATTGTGGAATGCTTCCAAATGTAGTATATACCTCAGCGTCCGCAACAAATCCGGCACTTTGGCCTACCAGCTGCGAGCTTCTTGAAACAAGCGTCTACATTGGGTTTAGGTACTTCTGATGTGTAAATTTCCCGCTGATGTGTATTCTCCCAAAACCAGCGTCTGTCGGCATTGATGTGTATTCTCACCAGCTGATGTGAGGTAACCCCAGCGCCCAGTACCACGGAATCACACACAAATGCGCAAAACATGTCAGACGACTACGCACTGACTATGCAGCTGGCCGCGATGCCGCGGCGGCAGCAGCATGTCGGGCCACCATGAGCCACCCTCTTCGGTTTTGCGGACCACCGCTGCCCGGAGGGGCCAATGACTGCTGCCCGGCTCGCCAGCAGGTTCGGAGGCCTTGGCTTGCGTTCAGGCATCCTGCCGCGACACGCTTCCCGTGCTGCAGGTGCGCGCTTGCCGCTGTTGCTCACATGGTGCGAGCCTTGCATAGCCTGGTTTCTGGACGGCTGGTTGGCAGCGCCCGGCGTCCCAAGCCGTTGACAATTTTTTTGTTCAGGGATCCTTTTTCGTGACACCGACGCTGCCTCGGCCACCGTGCTGGACTCGCCAGCTGGGCCTCGTGCTGCGCGCGTTCTTACAACCCGTCCAACCTTGCCGGAGATGTCGTTGGAGTCGCCGCTCTTCCGAGTCCACTCTCTTGCGCAGACTTCGCTTGCGCTTGCCCCTATCTTCTGCCAGATGCCTTTGCCGCGTGGTGACCACCTCGCCGCCTGCCCACACTCCGGCGGGCGAGGGGCGGCCCCCGCGAGCGTGCTGCTGTGAGTTTATCTATCGAAGCTGGGGCAGCGGTCGCTCCCGCGCTGCCCTGCTCACTGCAAGACGAGCGGAAGAGCGCAGACACCCTGAAGTGTGCAGGTCCAACCGCTGCAGCCTGACGGCATTTCGGTTTTCACTTTGCACCTTTGCAGCGTCATTTCGCAGCCAAATGTTTGTGCTTGCGCCTCGCTGGCACAACTGAACGGGGAGCTACCACCAACCCCCGCTCGCCAGCTGTGTGGCGTGAATGCGCTCTGCGCGCCCCGTGTTTGCCGCTCTTTGCCATAGACTGTTGCCTTGGCGTTGGGCTTTTCAACCGGGGCCGAGCTGCGGTAGACGTTGGTACAAGAGGTTCGTGTGGAAAAAATTTCCGCTGCACAGCAATCAGCGGCTTGCTTCAGGCGTGAGACAG